AAACGCACCTCGTCCCCTTTCGCTTCGGCAGCACTACCAAGGCGTCCTTGAGTTGCTGGACCTTGTCGGCTATAGCCCTCATCCACTGCTCGCGGTCATCGCCGCTAAGCGCGTTCACCGTCAGCGCCTGTTGCCGGTCCCCACACGGCACCGGCACGCCAAAGGGAACGCCAACGAGAAGACAATCGGGGATTCACGCTCGTTGTGACGGACGCGACGGAGCAGACAAGCCGAACACACAGGGTCAACCCTAGCCTGCGGCATGTACACCAGACGCTAGTTCTCGGCCTGAATCGGGAGGTGGCTAGCTATCACGAGTCCGTATAGGGCAGCCTGTCTCCATGGCACGCAGGCTTGATACCTTGCTAGAGCCAAGGCCATGCAAGGAGCAGCCCCGTACAAGTCGTTGCAGCCACTGTTGCAGCAAAGCAACGCGAAAACAGCCGACTACGATCCGCAAAACACCAGCAACTAGGGGTGCTGGTGCGAAACGAACAGCCTGCCGTCATCTTAGCCCGAGTTTGGCAAGCTCGTGTAGGGAGAGGGTGACCCGTGTTCATGCCATCAGCTTCAACAGCGGTAAAACTTGCGGTTGCCAAGCGAAGACAGTTTTGTGAGCACCGAAACAATCCACTCCGGCCACTAGCGATGTCAACAAGTAACTCGTTCGTGGCACAGCAGCACCTTGTTCTACGCGCAATACCGGCTGGTCCACCAACTTGGCCTGAGACAAGTAACACCAACAAGTCAAACTGATAAAACACAATGGTTGCCTCCGAATTCAAACTTGCTCGTCCTCCATCAACTTCACCAGGGGGAAGTCACACGGGACCCTTGTCACTAACATTAACGAACCTGCTTATCCTCCCTCCAACTTGAACGGAGACCCAACGCACACGGTACATTCATCTACGAACACATGGGTCTTGTCGTCCATCAAAAGTTGACCTGACAGCAGTTACACGAAACATGCGCCTTAACGAACCTGCTTATCCTCCCTCCAACTTGAACGGAGACCCAACGCACACGGTACATTCATCTACGAACACATGGGTCTTGTCGTCCATCAAAAGTTGACCTGACAGCAGTTACACGAAACATGCGCCTTAACGAACCTGCTTATCCTCCCTCCAACTTGAACGGAGACCCAACGCACACGGGGACATTCATCTACGAACAAATGGTCTCGTCCTCCATGAAGGGTTGATTGCAGCAGTCGCACGAAACATGCATCATGACGAACATGCCGATCCTCCCTCCAACTTGAACGGAGACGAGGCACACAGGACATGCAGCCATATATGTCGTAAATCAAGCCTTGACCGGACAGCAGTTACACGAAACATGCATCTTGACATTTCGACGAACCTGCTTGTCCGACACCACGTGGAAGGCATGCTCCTTAGTCGTGATCTTCTTGAGTCTGCTACCCGCGTTCAGCTCCAGGGTTCCCCTGGGATGCCGGTCCCCCTTCTGATTGTAGTACATCACACGCTTGCCCTCCAGCACAAACCATCGCTCTGTCCACCCCGAGACGCCTGTTGTACAGTAGTTTACACGAGAGGGTAGACACATGTTGACGGTCAGCCAAACATAGCAGCAGAGCCGTCGCACCAAGCACCCGGCACGGAGGGAGAGATTGATCCAGAAGCCCTCTTCAACCAAGGCACACTTGGTTTAACGTGGAATGGAGGCGACGCTCATCTCCGGTATTCTCTTGGTTTGATAGTGCGCGCAATACGATGCATGTATGTAGCTCACGCGAAGGATGCAGTTGAAAACACCGAGGCAACATTATCCTGCAATAGCAACAACGCACGCGGCACACTCGGCAAACAAGGAGGGCCAAGGGTGAAGACAGCACAGACTGTCTCGGTCGAACTTCGCCAGGGCAGCAGGGAAAAGCAAGCTCGCACAATACGCCACACCACACTGGGCGTGACTCGTTTCTGATTCGGTGAAGGCTGGGCAGGTCCACGCTGGTATGTTTCCCACCACGCTGGCTCCTCGACAGATGGGACACAAACATTCAAGTATGGCGCACGCGCCCCCACCTTTTTGCGACGACACGCACGCCTCTGGCATGTTTTATGTTTCGAAAACGAGTCCTGACATTTTTTTTTCCCCACGATTGACCACTTACTTCAAGGCAAGCGGACATTCAAACTGATTGTGCCGCTTTGTACAATACAGTATGGAGGCGCAAGCGTCCTCGTTGATGTGTTTTTTTCCAAGTCAAACAGCAGGAGTACCTATCGGTCAAGGATGTTCTAGCGATCTTGGCAACAACAGCAATATCCGCGCCCGCTCGTTTTTTTTTCGCCCTTATTTGTGTTGTGGTGGCTACACCGGAGTCTTCGGGCCCCCCACGTTAACATTTTCCTCGGAAACTCTGAGACAATTCGATGGGACAGCAGTCAGAACTCCAATATTATATATAGTACAGGAGTAGGATTAAGGAAAAACGCGAAACCGCGAAGTCTCCTCGACATTCGCACATGCGTCCGAGAACGGGGACTACACCCCGTACAGCAGTACGTCGCAGAAAAAACGTCGACAGCAAAACCAGGAGGGAAATCATGACCAGATGAGACCGGAAAAAGACGGGCGCCCACGAACGACAATCCGATGCCACTGATATGCCACGAGCCACATTGCTTGTTTGTCGTGTGTGTGTGTGTGTGTGTTAACAGCAGTAGGTATGCTCTGCTGTGTCAACTCTTGATGTTTTTCCAGCACACGAGGCTACAGATTGCAAAAAAAACAGAAGCACAGCTCTCGGAAGCTTTCGCAAGGGGCAGAGGCATTCAGATTGGCACGCACCAATGAGAATTTGGATACGACAGGCATTACAAAACGCGTGGGCGTTTGGTGCACGTAGGGTCAGGTAGGACTTCACGATGGAGTATTTAGTGCCCCCCGTGGCGAAACAGGTAATTCTACCACTTTTCACGACCCATCCTGGGAGGTTTATAGTGTTCTTATTTCTCACGACGAGCTCGTAACACATCTGGTCCATCGTTTCGTGGCCGGGCATGAGCGAAAGAAGCGAGCTCGTGTGCGCCATCGCTTGTTTCTGGAAACTTAAGCGTGTCTGCTCCCCTTCGAGCCTTTAGAGCTTCACTATGTATGCCAACAACAGCAGAGAGATGAGATATGCTGCAGGGTTCGCAAAAAAGGCGACCGAAAATGACCTGGGGCACAAAAAAGAGAGCGCGCTACTTCGGACGAGCGGTAAACGCCTCTAAATTTACCCGCAGAAACACGACGGCCACAAATCTCGCCCAAGCGAACACATGATCTGCCTACCAGCATCGAAGGCATGTATCTACCCCTGCCAAGCCACAGCAGACACGAGGCCTGGGCAGCGAGGAAAGCGGCGGTAGATTTTACAGCAGCAGGAGGATGTTGGGGCCAACAAAAAAAAAATCGCTTGTATGCGTACCCCCGCCGCTGTGCTGTTGGATCGGCTAGGGGAGCAAGTGTTCTACGGTACAACACCTGCAAGTGCAAGAACTTCACCACGCAAGCGAGTTTTGCCGTCGATGGTACGAGAGCATCACATGCAGCCGGAAGCAACAAAAATGTATGGGGGGCGCGCACAAACGCTACGATGTATTCAAGGGGAGGGACGCCCACTCACGATGACTTCTGCGGCAGGCTCCGAAAAGAAAAAAAGCGCCTAAAAAAAGGGGGCCAGGTGGCCCGTGTTGGTTTTCGGGTCCAAAGAACGTCCACGATGGTCGATGATGGGATCGTCTACTTCTTTCTGGACCCGCCAGGAGAGTGGAAAGAGACCGCTCGGAACGTGTGACCGCAACCCACGAACTCCTAGGAGGAACAGCGTCGAACAGCGCACCCAGGATGTCCCCCCAAAAAATCCCACCGTCTCTGATTGCTCTCCATACCATGAACGAACAACGACGACGCCACCAACAAACACACACACACCCACAGATCGACAAAAAACTAGGGAGAGGGAGGGAGAGAGAAGGAGGCTCGAAACAAATTTCACGGTCAGGTTTGTACAGAACCGCACCGTAATGTTCTTCGCCTGTGTGCAAGTCAGCACAGAGCGGTCGTCACATCCCGCGACAAGGAGTGCAAAGGAAGCCTGCGTGAGCCGGGCCATGCATCCGGACCAGCGCTCCCTTTCTGCTCTTTTTTGGGAGGCTGGTTGCCGCGTGAAAAAATGAGCGAGATACCCCGTTTTGAACGAGACGCTCGCTGCTGTGCCGGCCAAACATCTCTTCAGGTCTCTCGGCCTGAAAACGCGCCCTCCGATCGACCACATACGACACGAGAACCAAAGAAACCTTGGTCTCTGCCGCGTACGTCTAGCTGTCTCGCCGAACGCTGTCTACCTAGAAAAAGGGGCACACGATCTCACCTTTCTTTTCCAAGAAACCCTCCATAGCTCAGCTCTCTCTCCCGCCTTGCAGACAGCAGCTCCTGGCAACCTGGCCGTCCAAGCAAAGGGGAACCGTAATACCCTTTCCGGCTCCCTCTTCCCAGACCAACTATGTGCAACGGTTTTACCAGCTAAAACGCGCACGAAGCGCAACAGACAGCCCCCCTAAGCAGGCCTGAGCACTACCTGCAGCCTCCGCTCAAGGCTCACGCAGAGAGGGCACGCAGCCTGCCTGTTGTTCCAACCACGCACAAAGGCCTTCGTTGTTTTTACAATTTGACACCCGATCGAGCGAGCGACAACACGCGCCGCAGACGATTTTCTGAGACGCGAGAGGCCAAGAGCGCTACGCCGGCACGAGACTAGATGAGGTAACCCTGGCCCTCACCCTTGTTGTTCTCGCTTTACAGTGCGCGGTACGGCGGTGCTAAGTTGGAAATACTCGGCTCAAACAGAACTTACGTCGCTCCTCTCCTTGGCTCCAGAAGGAGCAAGTCAAGCTACCCAGGAAACCCCGCCTTGTGTTCCTCTCGAATCCGCGGAGCCCCTGGCAAATCAAATTCCGATTCTGCTCACACACTGCACAAACTCAAATCACTACAAGAGCCAGGCCAGCACTTGCACCTTGCTTGCCACCTGATCGGTGTGTTGCACCCAAATGATTTCGGGCGGGCTGGAGGCCGATGGTTGTTGTGAGATCAAAGCCTCATGCGTAGCTGGCCAGGGGTTGTTTGCGACCAAGGATTTGGTGACAGGGCAAGTGTTATTCAAGGAAACTGCATTCTTGGTCCCTGGTCGACGTGATGCTGCCGCGGAAATAGCCGCATCCTCGAAGCTGCCTCCCCTGTCTCCCATCACCGTTCAGCACAAGCACTGCCCCCCATGCGTCAGACTCGCTCCAACAGATACGGGAGGCATCTTGAGAGGCTGCTACGAGGAAACCTGCCGCTTTGCGCTTGCCTACCTTTCGTCCACTGCGAGCATCCGATCTCGAGTGCAGGAGCTTTCTCCGAATATGACACCTGCTGACACCACGACCACCGCTCCCCCCACCACCACCGACAACGACGGCCATGACGACGATGTCGACGACGATGTCGACGACAACAGCAATGCTATTGTCACGCTTGTTCGACGTGAAGTTGCTTGGCTGAGGAAGTGTGATCGCGACCTGCGCAGGTTGCCCTCGCGTGAGCTTGAAGGAGCGGTCCACAGGCAAGACAGATTCACGTAACACCATAATCATAAGACACCGTCTATGTATCTATCTGAACGGACCATATGTATGTACCTCTGTAACGTCTACACACATCGCATGCAAGTGCCATAGTCCATCTATTAACGGCATCGTAGCAGGAACACATCATCCGCAAGGGCCACATGCAGTATCCGATATGCTGCCGCTGGATAACCAGGATTGTCGTTCCCATCAGGTAGGAGGTATGCCAACCTTGGGTATGCATACATCGAGGCATATGGTCGCCGGCACACGAGCTTGTTTGTCAAGTTCTTGCCGCCGTGCGTCGCCTATTTTTTGTATGGGAGGACGGTTCTTTGCCTGCCCTGACTCTAAGGAGAGTTTGCATGTGAACACGACGGGGGCAACGGGCACCACACTCGCCGGACCACCGACAAGCTGCATGAAACAATCACCCTGGTACACGTATGCCTGGTCGGCGGGAACCCGGCACGGAACCCTCCGGCGTTGTAGGCGGGTGTGGGAAGCGTTCCCCGTTCTCCTTTTATTTTATTTTGATCGGTCTCCTCGACGCTCTTTCTCGTTTGGTGCGGTAGCTGGTCTTTCTTTCTATCATTTTGTTTCTCTTCCGAGTGGTTTTTGTACCCTATTATTTTCTGTTTCTTCGTGGGGTCGTGTATGCCGGGTTTTGAGACCACGGGCTCCCGATCTTTCTTTTTTTAGAGCTAATGTGAGAAACAACAACAAACAACAAACGTATAACCCGCTCGCTTCAGGTATTGGGCGAACTGCATGGGTCAAGAAGGTTCGCTGTATGAGCGTGGCTCCCGTTTCAACCACAGCTGTACTGCCAACTGCACTCGCGTTACGCTCGATGATGGCGGCGTGGAACGAGCGTTCATGACCCTGCGGCCTGTCGCCGCAGGAGAGGAGCTGACCCTTAGCTACCTGCCCTCCGGAATCGAGGTCATGGGAACCGTTGTTCGCCGGCGACATTTGTGGTTGTCACGGGGGTTTCTGTGCAGCTGTGACCGGTGCTCGCGACCGCAAGATGAAGTTCGGCAAGTGGTGTGCCCCGAGTGCTGCAAAAATTACAACTCACCACTTGAGCGGCGCTCGAGTAGCGGAGGGAGGGTTGTGGGCAGCTCAAGGTCGGCGGAGAGGCACTCCGCTCCTGCTTGTCGCGATGGCGGTCCTTACAACGGGGATGGAAGGCGACGACGACCAGAAGCAGAAGCGGTGTTCGCTGAATGGTGGAAACAGAGCGAGATGTGGGTATGCCAGTATTGCGGGTGGTGCAGCAATATCGACAGTACTTGCAGTGACAGTGCACCATCGCGAAGCCTGCACTGCAAAGAGAGCATTGTGAGCGCAGAGGTATTTGCGCTAGTCATGGCCCATACCGTTGATCCCCGTTCACCAAGTGCCAGTTGCACCAATATGGCACTGGACGGCCGCAGCGGGAGCCGGGGGTGGCCGCACCACCCTGATGAGCAGCTACAGGCGAGGCGCGACGCGATCAAGGGTATCCTAGAGACATCCGTCGCCGTTCTGGGGAGACGCCATTGGACGACGTTCAGTTGTGCCTATCTGCGGCTGAAGTTAGAGCTCTCCGCTAGGTCGACCGATGATGGCCAAAGACGTCCTCGGTCGGGTTCGCCCCATTCCTCATCGCTTAGAATACAGCCGGAGTTCTTGGACTGGGCCATGCGAGAACTGAACGCGCTGGAGCAGTGGCTAGGCGCCGCGCTGGGGTCTGTGACGTCGCACCCGCCGGCATACTATATCTTCGACCTCGTTTGCGACTTGCTGGATGCGACGAGAGGCTGCTCCGCACGCAACACCGTTGGGGGACTGCAATTGTTGCTGGGCAGAGTCGAGGCGTGGGTTTTGGTTTTCGCAGACGAAGACCAGCGTCGAAGGTTTGCGATCGTGTTGGCCGCAGTTGATTTGCAGTGTTGACACCGTCGTTTCTCCTTAGCCTCCGCTGTCTTAAGCTTTGTCTCTCAGCGTTGTATCGCGTGTACTTCGGAGGATTACCTAAGATGCTCACATCGCTGTCTTGTCAGCGATACGGTAGAATTGCTTTGCTCGACGGGGTGACCAATGGATCGGCGAGGGAGCGGGCATCTTGTTCGAGTGCAAGCAGGGTACTTGATACGTGTGCGACAGCTGTTTCAAGGGAATGTTACTCATAGAAAAATTGCGGCTTCTCTGTTTGATGCCGGGACCGTGCTAAGCATGAGTGACCGATGCCTTCGGCGCAAAATTCTGCAGCTCTGGAGAGTTTCTTTAGCCTATCTATGTTTATGCCACCTGCTCCCCACGCGCTCGATGCTCCTTTAGATAATTTCGATGAAGGTACATGGCCACGAAAATCGAACTGGAGTCGCGTTTTTTGACGTCTTGTGTCTTCTAGACGGAGGGTGGGGACTGCAAACATGTTGCCGTCACCAGCCGATACCGATCGCGAGTTCTTCAGCACGTGCTTATGCTCTTGTTTCAAACTGGTGTGCTCGACCTCTGCCGATTTCTTTCGACATCAATACACGAGGAGGTTACGTGTGCTCACCCCAACTCTCACAGGAGGCAAGGACGACTTTCCACTCCCGGTGTCGTTTACTGCAATCCCGCATTGGGCACAAGACTACACCATCCCTCAACAAACCTCATCTGTGCTGCAGGTGGGCACAGCCTTCCGGTGCATTCTCGGTAGAAGCTGTCCTCAACGATAACAGGCAAGACCCGCCCATTTTCCTCTACAGCGTACCGCTATACCCCCCGGAGGAGCAATCGTAAAGTGTTGGGAAAAAAAATCATCCCCGGGCTAATCAACAAGAGACAAGGGAGGATCTTTGACAACAGGAACGACCCGTGGAAAAAATTCCCCTGCGCGGTGCTATCAAAATCAGAGAGACACAGCTCAAATACAAACACACGCTGCTGCTTCGACGTCGAGTCAAAATACGTATATGAGCAAGCATTCCAGAATAGTTAGTAGAACGGATAGAAGGAGCTGGGGGAGCTTGCAACAAACAAGAGCAACGATTGTTGTGTTTGCCCCGGCGGAGATCGCGAAGATTGGCAAACAGATATCGCCCCACCCCGAAGGACATTTTCAGCACAGTCCGAATACATAAATTTGTTATTGTATAATCCCGACGCTAGTACGGCTACGCTTTCTCCACGCTTGAGGCGATTCGCGTTTGGGGGTAGCACAGAGGATATTACGATAATACCGTAACCAAGCTCAACCATCGCGTGCCTCGCGCGAAGCACAACACGACTTACCAACGTTTGAGAGATGGGAAACAAATCTCGCACCAGTATGTACGTAGGAGGCCTTCCGGAGCGATGTGCAAGGCACCAAAGACATGTTATCGTTTCGCCCCCGACCTATCTATTGAAGCTCATATTTTACTTGGCTTTTGCCTCCAACACACGGCAACACCCCTTTGACGTTAATTAAACGAGCCAAAGTACACCCCGGCCACCCACGAAGATGAACGACGCCCAAGGAAGACTTGACAAAAAAATTCGCCACCAAAGCATTGAGATTGGCGAAGCTCAGCGAGAACAACTTTCCGCTACAGCAGGGAGCTTTCAAGAAGAGTACGCCAAACTAAACCCAGATTGGAGACATGGAACTACTCTCAGTCATGCGAGGTCAGGTGTGTTCGACAACGCGGTTCAGCCAACCCTCAACAGCCATATCTAACACGGTGAGCAACGGCGACAACCACCCTCGTAGCGATAGTCAGCCCGCGTTGTCTTGCTACGATATGAATTCGCCGCATTTTCAGCGGCTGTTCGTCAATACTAAAAATCATCGTCCTCTACATTGGTGCGCGGCCGTCCCACTCGCAACTCCGACACGACAAGTCGCGCAAGATTTGGGCGGCCCATCAACACTTCACGAGCTGCCTGGAACACATGCAGCAGGAGGTCGGGGATGAGAATCTTACAAACTGGCGAACTACCAGTAACGTGCTGCTCGCCTCGGCAACGAGCGTGCAGCAAGACGACATTTCCGAGGCGTGAAACAAGACATCCAACCCGACCAATCCAGACGCCAGGCCCTCCAGTGAGAGCCGGGACTGCAGCATTGCAACAGCTCCGTGAGGTAAAAGAAGCAGTTGGAGCTTGCCCAGCGCTGCCATCGACTCCACCGTCGTCATCTCGCAGCTCCGACAAAAACCACATGGGATAAGAAGCAACTCCCGTCACAAATGCCGCCAAGGTGCAGAGATTGGCTTGTCTGGTCCTACAGGTGGTGGCTCCTGGGCGTAAAGGTACAGGGGGGGTGCATTCGCTGACATTTGCAGCTCGTCTCCTAGCTGCACCGAGTGCACCGAGTGCTCCCCGTCGATGTAAACGAACCCATCCTAGACAATCGAGGACAACAAGACATTGAACGGGGAAGAGAGGACGTCGTCGAGTCGTGGCGGCGGCGATGGCGGGCGCCGCGGTAGCGGGGGGCTAGGCACAAGTCGCGAAATATTCGAGGCTCAGGTAGTGAGAGGTAGCGAAAGCAAACAAGAGCCAGAGATCTACCGTTGGCCTCCACAGCCCGCTTGCAAGCCCCGTTCGAACTGCAGAAGTTCGCGATACGGTGTACATGCATGCGCGCCACATGCTCATCCCACCTTGGAGTTCCAGCGAATCTCTATCTTCGAACCCTGAGGAACGATACCCTGCCCCTTCGAACGCAGGTGCTCCATGTGGGCTTCCACCATGTGCTCCCGCACCATGTACCTATGGCAAGCATGTGTATTTGGTCAGAAATATCCATTTGTACTCCTGCGCACCACACTCAGTTGCGGTAAAGGAACAAAGCTTAGCGCGCGCGTATGGAGGCGCTAGGGACCGCGGAACAACTACGCCACTCTTGAGCACACCATGGCATCTCGTTTGGCGCCACCCTCTGGTTGGCTGACACCAGTGTGACGAACTCGCCCACCCTTCTACGGGAGGATCTTATCTCTCTAACAATAATTCTACTGCGTGTTGCCATTTTTTGGAGATCAAGCCAGACGACGAGCTGACCACTCCGTACATTTCCACGAATCCGTCCAAGTCAAAGGTCGCAATCATGGGGCTACACATGAGTCAAGCGCTGCACGTACAACAACAGCAACAGAGCACCCTAGGCCCTACAGCTCCTACGCGCCAGCGGTAGCGCTCGGGCAAGTACCGCTGTGGCGCGCAGGTCTTTGCTCACTCACTGCATGTCTGACGAGTCTGGTGCCATGGGTTGCCCCCCTGCTGCCTTCATCGCCGCCGTCGACCCCGTCGCTGTACACACCCACATACCCGACGACCAAACGTTGAACCACTCGCGGGCGGATGCGCCTGGTGAACACAAGCGGCAGAGCACACGAACTAAGATTGAATATACGCTGTGACAATTGTGTATTATTGATAGTGTCCAAGCACACAGACGGTTTCGCGGCTCCAGAAAAAACGACCAAAGCAGAATGTCGGCCCCGTAGGCTCACTGACCCCAACAGCTTCGTTTCTCACGGCATTCTCATCCCAAACAGGTACAAAATCTACAACGTACGCTGAACTCACCTTCCGCAGGGACCAAGCCCAATCGGAATCGGCTGACAGCCGCTGGATTAGGGTTCGCTAACAACAACTGCGCGTATTGAGGGGATCGTCGAAAGATGCGGGACACGCGATGGAGAAACAGAGACAACAGGTCATGGGGTGCAAGAGGTCCGTTCAACAAGATCTATAACAAACCTGACCACTGCTGTGGGCATCGTCTCCATGCCAACCATCTGGTGATGCAAACGGCCATCTGCTTCGGGCGGAGGCTGTAGAGGTTGATCTACCAAGACTTGCGCAATCGCTCCACACGCCTGGATCGCACAACTTCTACGCAAAATCATGATCTACTTGCTACTCACTTTTTTGGGGACAATGTTTGAGCAGCTCGAAGGGGCTCGACTCTGGCCAGTGCTTGCGGAACATAATCTAATCGCTCGTATACACGGATAGAGTATTGCGGGGCACATGCGGTAAATCTTCATAGAACACGGTGTGCTACACCTCATTTTACACTTGTTGTGAACAGCAACAAATACGGCTTCTTAGTCGAACCATCAAGTTCGACAAGAGCCACAACTGGTCCAACCAACGAGCGATGCGTGTGAAACTTACATCGTTGAGAGTCGGCGGCAGCTTGGTCTCCGTGAACGTGCTCTGAGGACGGGTGGGGGGATTGACGCAACGTGGAAAACGCGAAAGAGCAAATGGTAAGGTTACCACAGGGCAACTGCATCGGATCGAACGTCTCCGAAATGTTGCCGACACCTATGCAGACCAAACTAGGGGAAAAAGAGCAGACGACAATGAAACACACAGGAGCTCTCCGAACGGAGGACAAAATGGCTCAGACCAATCTTCTCCAAGTCTACGACTGTCGGAAATAAAACTGACTATAATAAGTACAAATATCCGGTTGAAATGCGATGCGACGCACGAAGGGCACGAAAAACGTTTCAGATTTCCAAACTCTCGACAGAGCCGCGAAATTAAAGTCATGCCAGAATTCCAACGATAATAGAGAAAATGTTCGGTGACACAAGTCCCCGCTTACTCGACAAGAATGGAGGACACAACAATTTTCTCTCGGGACTCTCCAAACGACGGTTTCTCGACAGAGTGACCTTTATGGATGTTTCCAGTCGTGTTCGCCGTTGCGGCTCCATTTCTCTCAGCAAGACCTGTCACAGCGGCAGCATCCCCCGCCGAAACGCGAAAAAAAAACGCACAAAGGACACAAGTGACTGACACAAGGGGAGTTGTACTCGTCAACATGCTGGCGATTTGTTGCTTCAAAACCACCGCCGTGACAAAGCACACGACGTATCGCCGACAAGGGAGGAAATTCTACCCCGCGTGAGAAGCGCCGAGGAGCACGAAGTTTAGCGCATCAAACGGAGGGCCAGACCGTGGCCATCTTAACTTACCGAGCACTACCCAGCAGTTCGGCACGCGTGTCTACTATGTAAGTCGTTCAGTGCATCGACATTTTCGATTGAACGATTTGCTCGGGGTTCGTGGCGCGGGAGGGGAAAGGAAGCTGGAGGGAAAATGTCGCCGAGGGCTACGCGGCGTGTTCGACATATTGACGTATGCACACAATATCGCGCAAGCTTTCCACGGCCGCCGAGCAGTTGGAAGGTGGAGACCGAGTGTTGCTCTTGATTCCATCGGCAAGGGCGTTCATGCTGCACGACAGACTTGTCGAGGCAGGAGCGTGCAGGGATGGCTTGTCTTGTCTTGAAGAGCACAAGACACAACGACATAAGTGCAGCAGCACGAAAAACCACCGTGATTCAGACTCACGTTTTGGCCTCGGCGGGCATGTCACCGAGCCTTCTAAACGCGCGCTGCACACTGACAGCTAGGACGAGCCCCTCCGAAACGAAAGCGAATGTTTGCTTTCGGGCGCCAGGGCAGTATCACAGGTCACTATACCATCCCAAATCTGCGCCTTGCCCTGCCGTACCACACCTTAGGCAGCATCTCCTCAACGTCGAGAGCGGTGCACATGCACAGCGCTCCGAAGCTCCTTCTCTCGTCGGTCTTCTTGGTGGTGTTCATGATCTCCTCCGCCCTGTTGGGATCGCTGTTGACGCCCACCAGCGGGATGTTGTTTCCGAGGAAGTGGCTCGCCGACAAAACCGTCCCGTCCCCGCCCACGGAAATCACCAAGTCTACCTGGCGTTTGGCGCAGATGAGATTTCCGTTGAAGGGGTGGAGGTACATCGTTTGCTACCGGTCTCAGTACCAGTGACTCACCCTTTTCGCCGCTGAGGGCAGCATTTACTCCGGATAAGGACACCAAGGAGCCGTTGACGCTGCTGCCGAACTGCACACAGGCAAAAGTGCTGTTAGTTTACACCATTCGCTCCCTTTCTTGGCCATCTGAGGCCACTACGCCTACGTTTCATCGTCCTCCTGTCTCTTTGGTCGTTGCACACTCTAGTTCTTCTGTCAGACTGCTTCCAGCTATCATGTTTGGCGGCCTCGTATGGCGTCCTGTGCCTGTCCTGCATACCCTACCACTTGGTGCATATATCATGTGATGCTGGTGTCGAGGGGGGTTGGGGGCGGGGGCGGGTGAAGGGCGTTCGGAGGGGAAGGAAGGGACTTCACGGTCCACGTATAACTACAAATAGTGAGGAATGGTTGTCAGACCTCCCAACACCTCTCCCAGAGGGGTAGGTTTTAAAACGCAAGCAGCAACGCTAATGCAAATGTTTCTGCTCAATGGGCCGCCGCGAAACCTCAAAAGCATGGTACCACGCTTTCGGCGCTACGTATCCTGTGGTGGTGTTGCAGTTATCCCATCGGGTGGCATCTCCCCTGACCTTCGATATGTGCTGTCGATCTAGCTCCTCCCTCCCGACCAGGGCATATTCCGACTTGTGCCTGGTCAGCACCCTCTCCACCGAGGCGACGCACTCGCGGTGGATGTCGTGGCTGATGGACGTCATGGACGATTTCGTCGGTGGTTTACAGGGCACCATTGAAAAGCATTGGGACGTGCAGGGCAGCAGGGCAACAGCAGCATGTTTGGAAAAACGCACAATCATGATCAACGTTGCCTTACAGATATATCCACCGGCAGACAATGGTACTCCGCGCCGTTTGTTGGAGCTGTAACGAGTATCCGCCGACATCTGAGTTTGAATTGCGTGTGTGCTTTGCTACGGACCCCTGGAACGTACATGTGCCGGTACGCTGGAACAGGTGTGTGGTCTTCTTCAATACTGCTGTATCGCATCTTCCACTACCTGCATACAACGCAGCATTGCACCTACCGGAGATATGGTATCAGTGGTGCCTCCGAACAATATGAACGATGTGCATATGTAGCATTTCGACTTTCTGAGTCTTCGCATTCGTTTTTCTCCGCTGGGACAGCGATTTTTCGCATTTTCTTCTGCGTGGCACGCAGAAGACCCGTAGGTACATTACCCGTTATGTGTGGGGCTCGCGAGATACCAGTGGAGCGCGTTAGGGCCGCCTCAAGTCGCTGGGACTGGCTCTTGTTTCAGGGGCTGGGAATCCGAACCATAAAGACCTCCCCGAACGGCATGAAAACTGAAAACAGTTTGTTTTTTTTTGCCCCGCGCCACGCGCCCACACGCCGTGGTGTGGGAAGCGTTCCCCGTTCTCCTTTTATTTTATTTTGATCGGTCTCCTCGACGCTCTTTCTCGTTTGGTGCGGTAGCTGGTCTTTCTTTCTATCATTTTGTTTCTCTTCCGAGTGGTTTTTGTACCCTATTTTTTTCTGTTTCTTCGTGGGGTCGTGTATGCCGGGTTTTGAGACCACGGGCTCCCAATCTTTTTTTTTTTAGAGCTAATGTGAGAAACAACAACAACAACAAAAAAAAACGCCCACACAGCTGCTGCGATTGTTGTGTACTCAACCACCACACAGCAACTGGCGCACGTACCTGCAGCGGGGACCAAGACTCTTAATGTTGCTCATGGGAACACACCACGCGACAAAGAAGTCCTCTAGCACAACTCTGGCAGCGGTCATGTAAACTTCAATCCCGAAAAATCGAAAAATTCAACCATACAAATTGAGGTACTGTATCCAGAGCAGTCCACATCTATCTATGACTGTTCTTGGCACGTTGAGGGTCTCTTTGATCCGTTGTTGGTGTTTGCATGAAAAGTCCCACAGACTATAGGAAACACGATCACACACGAAGAGAAGGTGATCAAACGCAGCGGATTACAGCAGTAGGACCTGAAGCAGAGACAGCGCTCGCCTAAAGCACACACTCTTGAACAAGCGAAAAGTCACGGTGGGGGGGTGTACTCATAGTCGTGCATGCCGTAGTCGTTACACCGTTGACCTCGCATCCCTACAAAGCCGGGACGGAGCACGCCGGGTTCTCACCGGACCAGGCTCTCACATCACCAAGCGCGAAGCGCCGTGAGATATTCGGCGAGTCGCATGAAGGGTGCGCTGCATCCTGCTAAGGGTGTTCGGCATCTTGTGCTTACTTCCTTGCGTACGGATGACAGCTACGTATGATTTCATTATATTTTCTGGTGCTTTCACTGCCAGAGACTGCATCCTGTTAGACTGCATCCTGCTAAGGGTTTTCGGCATCTTGTGCTTACTTCCTTGCGTACGGATGACAGCTGCGTACGACTTAATTTATTTTCTGGTGCTTTCACTGCCAGAGACAGCTATAAGCACTGTGTAACTGCCTCGAGGGTGCATGACCATTTTCACACGACGTGGTGCGATCATCCCACTTGCGCAGAGTGAGGCTTCTCCACCCCGCACAACATGATCCACTCGACCACCATTATGGTTACCGCCAAAAAAAAAAGAGGTAAAAAAATACCCGGTAACCTGGTTGCCGAGCTCACCAAGTGAATTGGCTTGTTTTACAACGTCGTTACCAAGCGACGAAAACCCAATTCCGATGGCAAACGCCATCCGTGGGGAGGAAGTTACGGTGGGAGAAAACAAAATACTCCGCACATGACGCAAATTCCAGGCAACTTAGTATGCAGGTTGCACGCAAGCCGGCACTACCAAACGTCATGACGATCAACCATGCGACCGCGATGGCGTTGATTGGCCATATCCTCTTGCGTAGCCTCTGGGAGGCAAATCACCCAACTCCCGCAGGGGAGCCTTGTGTGATATCAAAATGCAGTCCGCACTCGCCCTCCTCGGCCCCGGGGTGCCCAAAAAATCCTAGGGAATTCGTGGGACTTGCCGTGTGTCATGGAAACTTATGAAGGATAAGCTTGTCAACAAAAATTCAAATTAGTTTGTCTTGTCAACGCGTTATTGTTTCAGTTGAGTGCACCCAGAACAGCAAGTTCGATGTCGACTACAAGTAATTTTAAAAACATACGCAAGGGCACCAGAAATTGTACAACAGACACACAGGACCAGTCGGAAGGCATCGCAAAAAAAAGCAATCGTTGAATCCCGCACAGGGCGACAGTAGAGACTGCTCAAAACATACATTCACGCGTCTACTTCAGCACGCCCCCTTTGAAATCAAGATAAAAATCGCCCTATTCTCATTTCAAGTCAAAAGAGCCAAACGGCAGGCCTTCAAATAAGGTCTGTGTTGCCGGGAACCTGGTAATTAGTACTGTTATCAGTAGAGGACACCATGAAGAGGCGTCGTGCGTGCTGGCACGTTCAGGTTTGCTGCTGGAGCTGAAATATCGAAGGTCCCAGCAACCTCTGAAAACAGTCCGAAATTTGCACCGGAACCAAGCGGCATCCAACACTTGTCACAACCGTGCACACCGCCACGGACCCCAATCTCCTGAACTGTGCGTTTACAGCAGTAGCTCATGCCACGAGCTACTGCGGACAACCCTCCGTTGAGGGGTTTACGGTCCGTGGCGGTGTGCACGGTTGTGACAAGTGTTGCATGCCGCTTGGTTCCGGCGCAGATTTCGGACTGTTTTCAGAGGTTGCTGGGACCTTCGATATTTCAGCTCCAGTAGCAAACCTGAACGTGCCAGCACGCACGACGCCTCTTCATGGTGTCCTCTACTGATAACAGTACTAATTATCAGGTTCCTCCTGCGGGAAGGTTGTTTTATTTCTTATGTTGGATTAAGGTATGAGAAAAGAGCCAGCATCAAAACCCTTGTTCTGGGGGCCCTCAAAACCCAAGTTCACGTATACTTGTTAGTTTTTGGTGGAGTGCGAGCTCTATCACCACAAAAAACTGGGGGGTGATGTGGGACTTGTGTCTCCTGAACCCACACGCCTCGCCCCATGTCTGTCTGTAACGTCAACACGTCAGTCGGAGAATCCCTCCCACTGGGAGCATGTCTTTATCATCATTGAGGAGGAACTCCCGCTCATGATCTTGATGGTGATGGTCGACGGCTGTCCGCCCTCACCTCTTCAGCTCACTTCCTTTCACTACAGTCGACGCCGCTTTAAGGACGCTCGCGTTAAGGAAACTCCCCGCTTAGAGGAAACTTGTTCAGCTGAGCACCGGGGTCCCGGCAGAATATACGATAATGAGGTACCCCCATTTTTTGCCGCATACCCCCCTTTTTTGGTGTCCTGCGGGCCTGCGGGCCGCTCTTTGCACGAACCACGCACCACAGTGAGTGCAGAAGTAGCGACGCACAGACAGCAGAAGTAGCGAGCGGTCTGCTGCTGCAGCTGCAATTGGGCGTTGGTATAGATAGATTCCTCCCATCGACCTACCGCCGGTCCATCTGATGCCGCCAGAAAAAGAGTCGTGCATTACCTCGTCCCTCACCGAGGGCGAGGTTATCTCTCGCTTGGAAGACGTTCGATCCTACAGATAGCGCCCGCAGTTAAGAAACGTCAAAATCGGTGCGAGCCTCACCAATCCCTTCTTTTGGGTCGAGGTACCGGCACAAGTCGTCCATTTCGTGAATGGCATTTCTTCTTCCTTTGGACTGTTGCATCCTCCCGATTCTCTCCTTCCTTAGACTACAACAAGTACTTCGTGTTTTCTTTTCACTGCCTTTTGATCTCTGAGGACAATCCACATCATCAAGCCCTCAAGAGAGGTGGTGGATAGTGCCATCAAACCCGTACAACAGCGGAGAGCATATGGTTGTCCACGATGTGTGGTAGTACTACAGTACAGCATTCACTGTGAACAGCAGGGGCGCGGGGGGGCGGGGGGGGGAGGGGACTCTGCCCCCTACAAAAAAAAATGCACTTCTGTTCAGCTTGGGAGGGGGTTGGGAGCACCGCAGATCTCTGATGTCATGGGGGTATCGCACCATAACGTTTCTTATTGGGGCGTTGCCTACGTTATGGCCGAGATTGGGCTATGTTTCTCAGCCCTTTTTTCTTGTTTTTCGTACAAAGTTGAGCCATTTTTCTTCATATAATTTTTCTTAACTGCGGGCGCTATCTGTATTTATTTGTACGCGAAGGGAAGGGGTGACGAGTACCGTGAGACGCAGTACCTTCTTTCGAAGACCGTTCATTCGTTTACTCATGAAACTCAACAGAGAGAGCCGTAGAGCCAAGCCGCGGGGGGAGCTTCAGGTAACTCTTCGCGATATTATGTGGAAGGAAAAGCCATCAAGTAGCTATTTTGGTCTCCGCCGGGACAGTGATATGTACTGGTGTTCCTCGGTGCGACGCTGAAATACGCTCGTTTTTTTTCTGCTTCACAAGAATGAGATGAATATATGTCTACTTGGACTTTCCTCCTTCTTCCGCTGGANTGAAACTCAACAGAGCCGTAGAGCCAAGCCGCGGGGGGAGGTTCAGGGATTCTTCACGATATGTGGAGGGAAAAGCCATCAGGTTAGCTTTTGGTCTCCGCCGGGACAGTGATATGTACTGGTATTCCTCGGTGCGACGCTGAAATACGCCAGTTTTTTTTTGTTTCACAAGAATGAGATGAATATATGTCTACTTGGACTTTCCTCCTTCTTCCGCTGGAGGCTATGCAGTACATTAGTTGGCCAAGTACAAACTGGTGTACTGTAGTTGTTTTCAACACATCCCTGACTGCTGTACATCTCATATCAAGTATTGTTAATATGTTCGATGTCAACAATCGGTTGCCAGTCGTCTCGGCGATGCTGACTTTTCGTACCACCCCCTTCCTTAGCAAAAGACGCGCAGTTTGAGGTATAGCATGCCTCCATTGGCCCCGGGGATGGTGAGCTATCGTCCCCTGAATTTGAAGGACGCAACCCCGCTTTTAGGACGCTTTTTCAGGAAAAACCATGTGCGTCCTTTAAGCGGGGTCGACTGTACCTCTGTCTACAGTTCCACCAGACCTGTTCTACTCTCCACGTGGTCCTACACGTGCCCCCACTTCCATTGTCGTTGCTCCATGTGAGGACAACTTGCTCGTCTCAAGAGCAGAGAGCTCGTAACTCTCCATCGACTATCGTAGCGCTCTAGATCAACCCCCGTAAGCTACAAAAAACTCGGCATATTCGCTTGCAGATTACGGTATACTGCGCCGCGTCACTCACCGGTTCTTGAGCCTCTCCCACCTCACCGCCGTCGGAGCCTTCCCCTGCGCTTTGAGCGCTTTGTATGACTGCGCAATGTAACGTTGAGCGGGAGAATAGCACAGCGAGCGATGTATTCATGATTGTATGCAGTGGTACGGTAGTACAAGGGGAGAACCGTGCGGACATTCATCCCTGCCCCGTTCTTGTCGCTATCGGCACCAAGAGCGTGTCAATCACCGCCAGTGCCGGAGCAATACGTTCCCAACACGAGCCAGGAATAAGGTTTGATCAGTATTCACCCATGATGCCCAACACCACCACTGCTGCCTCTACTGTAGTGCTGCTGACAGCCTCCACCTCCATTCATCGCTGGCGCGTCATCAGCCGTCATCACACAAACTCGGCAAAAAAATGCTAGACTAATCTAATTACCACGGCTGTAGACTAGTCTGATCCACATTTTGAATCATCAACCATCGCTGCTGTCGAACGGGATCCTAGTGGACAGGATAACCACGCCAGCACCGCTCGGTATCATCGTTGAAAATGCAAAGAAGGACAAGAGTAGCAGCGCAGCACGGCAGCACAAGGCCCTGCCGCGGCGGCGGTTTTCTGTTCAATTCCTTCGGCTCTGTTGGCTGATGGCATACAGCAGTCCGCACTCTATCATCAGCTGGGAACATGAGTGTTATCCCAAGATTCAAAATTGAGCCGGTTCTTTTTTGCCCTCTTATCTCTTACCTCGTAAGCGCTGTGCTTCACCACCACGAGAATCTTTCTGAAGCCCGAGCCAAACACAAGTCGGCTCTTCGCATGGCTCCAGCTAGCCGACATGACAAGCTCCGGGTGAGTTCTCCAACAGCAACAGGTGTCACCCCGCTGTGTTGACTGTTTCCAGCAGGAACAACAAACAACGTCACTTTCGCCGAACCTCGTCTTGAGACGCAGTCGAACCAGCACACACAATCCTCACGGCCAGGCAAGGCACTATTGGCTGGGACAGATGCACCAGAGTTGAGGCGTTAACGGCGCGTGTGGCATTGACGCCGTGGCTTGAGCGCAGACCCGGCAGTGCGTGAGCAGCAACCACAAAGACACAAGACTACAACCGAGGAGCGGGGGTGTTTGGGGGGGGGGGGGGTCGTCTTTTGTATTTACTGAAAAGGTTGCGTAGGTGCGTACCTCTCCACTAAGGGCACGGCTCCGTCACGCAGTACCTTTAGCCAAGGTCCATACGTTGAGTTTCCCATGCGTGACACTAATGCTGTGTCGCGTGGCAGCACGTACTTGGTCGTCATGGAAAGGAATGTTGCACCTCTCTCTTTCGATGAAAGTTGGAGGAAACGTGTAGCGGCTGATGAATATCTTCTGTGGGGCCCCCACGCGTTGGTCGCCAACATGTTACTGCGTACAGACCAGTACGTACTCGAATATTCTATCTTCGTACACGACTTATTCAAGATGAAACACGAACACTCTACGCGTAGAGCAGTAGTAGTGGTCTTGGTTCCTCCTCAGTAGCATGTGTGTGTGTGTTTTCGTCCTATTTATCATGGCGACAGTCCCCCCATTTTTCGTGGTGAGACAGACGTGCACTACATTTTGTAGAGTACTACACTTTTCCGTGTATTCTTTCGTACAAGTACAACCATCCAGGGTCACACAGGAGGGGGTAAACACCAGGGCTCTTTTCTTTTCTTCTTTATGTTTATTTTTCATGCCCCACCTTCCTCCTGCGGTGCGTGCTGAATTTTATTTTTATCGCGAGAAGGGTCCAGCCGTCCCTTTCCCTCGTCAACGGTGCTAACGTCGAAGTTCGGTGCTCACGAGAGCATTTTTAGCTATATTTCGCTTTCACCCGCAACGTTTACATTTTTTTCACCCCATGGGGATTCGAACTTACAACCTCTGCGACAAGACCACCGGGGCGAAAGGTATAGAAGGTGTGTCACAGACATGTTTGCTCTGGTACTCAATGGGAGGTATCTGTATGTGTAGTGAAGTAGACAACCTCTACAAGAGACCCAGGCAGGGTGGTACTCTGCTGGTCATATGCTTGTGGACAACGATGATCAGTACCCTGCTCTGTAGACGTGGTGCGCACTGAGAGCCGAAGACTGGCGACAACAACGCTATGAAGTAGCTCCCGACAACGGAGAATATTGGAAATCAACGAGAAATGATTTCATGCACGCGCAAGAGTTTTCTGGTTGGTCCAGAGGAACAGAGAACATTGATGCACGGCTGACGACATCCATCCACAGATCCGCCGGCTATCGGTGCGAAGGGCTCTCGGACACGAAGGGATAATTGGGCGTTCTTGATTGGACGACCGATCATTTCGCGAATTTTTGTACGGGTTGCGCTAGTTGTCGAAAAGCGCAATCTAGTCTAATATATTGACACAAAACAAAACAAAGCTCGCGAATCCTCGATGGCAAGAGTACGGAATCACACTACGCCTCGGCCAATGCGGTTGAATGGACCTTGCAAACGCAGCTTTCTAGATTGTGCGTGAAGATAACAAAATCGACCCACAAGCATCGCAAAAACACAAAACAATCGCTAATTCCCGAACGTATGAACAGCAGCGGCAGTCTGTTGGCCTCGACGGGCGAGAAAGGAAATCATCAATCGCACAAACGGCAATCAATCCAAAAACTAACTGCTGTGGAACACTACGGATACAGTAGTCCCCTCCTCGCACGTTTGTGCTACTACTGTTGCAACCAAACTACCGCACCCGAAGACATTCTTTGGCGCTTCCTCGGATAGACATGTCGGGAAAATCAGCACAACCAAGGTGGGCAGCGACCCTGGTCGAGGAGTCGCGTAGAAGTTCGAAAGACACGAATAGTCCTCAAAGTGACGAAGACTAAAAGATGGCGACCGAAAGATAGATGTACATAGTCCTCTGAGCGACGAACACTCAAAGACTGCGACCGCACGGAGAGCACCCAAACGGGCACAACTCCCGCTCACTCCACCTCCACCAGCGAAAACTCACGACAACTCCCCCCGCTTCGTCAAAGCGGCTAAAATAGCGTGCCTCGTGCACGTCGACGCGTCACCACAAGTTGCACGACCAAACAGCATTATGCATCATGACTGAACTTCTCCAAAGATGGAAAGAAGGTGCAAAAAGATCTGCGCAAGGGAGGGCAAGGATGAGACGCACACACACGCGCGCAAGATTTGGGCACAAAGCAAAGTAGGAAAGGCGTGTGAGATACTCCGGACGCAACGCACTCACGAAGAAGAGAAGGATACGTGTGGGAATACCATCGCCTTTAGCATTGTCAGTAGATTGGCATTATGTATCGCCCCCTGGCTTGGCAAGTATTACATAGAGGAGAACGTTTGTGAAACTAGAGCTGGCGGAAGATGTAGTTACGACAGGAAAGAGTAGATGGGAGAGCCTCGAAAGCAGCATGGAACAAAAACGGGTCACGGAAAGCACATGAACAGGTAGGGTTCGTCTTCCGTCCCGGTGTCCTTCGTGACCTCAACACACCTGCATTATGTCTTGATACAACTCCATAGCTGCCATAGCCCAATCCTTGACGCTGAACATGGACGACTGCCGATGCTTCCCACCGATGATCCTTGATTGGTTCATTTTTCGCCGCAAAAAGCAGGGGCGGAGAGTTTCGGGCAAAAAAAACAGAACCCCCATGAACATGTCCCTCCCCCCCATAGCTTGAGAGCGTGTCCAAGGGAGCAGTACGACAGGTGTTTCGGCTTCCCCTAGACTCGAGGCCGTGTGAAAACGAAGCTCCAAAACATCAAGATCGAATAATTGAATAATTCATTGTTGAAAACGATAGAAGAAAATATTTATGATACTGTGCATTGTTTTGTTCTGAAATAAAAAGTCCCCGAAAAAAGTCCTCCGACGACTTTTTTGTAATTCAAAGCCAGAAAAGCAAAGTTGAGCATGTCGGAAATACTGGGCATCGACGATGGGACATCAGTCGCCACAAGTTGCTTGAGAGTTCCGCTGGCGGTACACGGACCGGATGGGACCCACCAAGCTACGTATTGAATGATGACTCTCAACGCAAGTGGAGAGTTACCTGTAGGTGTCGAACACGAGATAGAGGCTGAAGAAGAGGGTCGCAAGGCACGACAAGGCCAGGTCGGAAGCACGGTGCCCCCTGAAGAAAAAGATCTTCATCAGGCAAAACAAGCTCAGCGCATTTCCGGCGGAATACAGCCCGGCGCCGAACTGCGTCAGCTCGTGCTTTGGGTTGGTACGGAACGCGTACGCGGTCAGGGATCCTGGGCATGCACGGCAACAACGAAACACGGTACAGCTGTGTCACCAAATTTATCATGAACAGCTACTCACGATGACAATGTCTGCCCGAGAAAAAAAAAAAAACGGCACATAACACATCCGACCACTGTTGTCTTCGTACTACTGCTACGTCTGCCCTCCGACAATGTGCACCTGTGACGAACACGAACACGCGCCACTATTGTTAGCTGACAAGCCACACGAGTCAAGTCTTTTCCACGCAAGCTTTTCCAGTTGATCCGTGGATTTGATAGAAGCGGCTTGCATCAAAGACCATTCGTTGGCGAGTCTCTGTTCCATCTATGACTCATTCAGGATCTACTCTAACAGTTGAGAAATTCCCGGAGCTCTCCCCCGTCGAGTCTGATCGGACGGCGGAACGCTCCGAAAAAAGTTGCAATCGCCGGATGCATGAACTGCTGTGCATCGGTTTGCTGACCAACAACGAGGATATATCCACTTCGTCTGATCGAAACAACTATAAATTACTATTTACAGAAAACCCGGAAGCAGGCGGTAGATCGGGTTTCAAAGAGTTGACGTTGCCATCGCATGGGGTACTGAACCTCTTCATACGGGTGCGGGTGACGAGTACTTGGAACTTGTGTGGGTGTTGTGGGGCTCAAGTGCAGCACTGAAAAACGAGAGCCCACTACCCTAACGCTGGACCCCGGCAGGGAAAACAAAAAACATGATCCCAAAGGACCGAACGCGAGTTTGGGGTTGGATCCAGGCGAGAATTGGAGAAATCTAGGCGGTCGGCGCTGTTGTTATGTTTACGTCAGAACATCGTACGCACTTGTGCAATGATTATGTGGGCGCTGAAGAAACAAAAAAAAATAGTGCGTGCCCTCTTCACACTGGTGCTAGGGAGGCTTGGAGACATTGGGCCGTAATTTCATGCCTGTTCCGAAGCGCAAAGGATAGGGATGGGACAAGTTGGGGGCATCTTCTCTCACCGACCACGAAAGCCGACTGGAAGACCGCCCGCATCACCGAGCCCTTGGTGAACATCAGGGAAAACACGCCGACGTAGAGTGCCCATGCCGTCGTGTACGCCGTGAGTAACGGGAGGTTCTTCGGGAAGCTTTGGCGAAGCTGTGAACGAACGCACGGCACAGACACACGGACAGCAGGCAAAACAATTAGGCAGGCAGGCAGGTAAAATGATAGAGGCAGGCACACAGGCAACAAAAGCAGGCAAAGATTGGGACGACAGCGCCGCAGCGGCCATGCGAAGGGGTAAAAAAAAAAAAATAGCTAAAGGTGCTGCGTGAGTAGGTGAAACAACGTTCTCCGCCTATTGTTGGCGTCGGTACCGACGAACTAATCTCTAGTACCACCTGCAACATCAACGACAACGAGAAGTAGTGACAGAAGGTCTCCAGCCTTTTCAATCACGACAATATACATACAACTACGGTTTTCCTCGCGGGAATCTTGTTCTAACGAGCAACAACGACTAGAATAAGCCTCCCTCCCGAATGCCAGGCACAATCCAACAAGGCGGAGAGTCAACGGATGGACGCGGGAACCACCCTCCGTAATAAGACCGAAGCAATCAGGTTCAAGGCCAAGAACTACGCCATGCAACCGAAAGCCCGGAGCGTTCACCGCTGCAACAAGGAGCAGAAAATCCCGAAAAAATCCACGTGGCCAATGAGTAGCGGTGTGCCAACAGCACCGACTGTGGTTTCTCGCTCAGCTGACCTCGGGGTTTTTCCACATAATCGTGTGCGTAGAAATGATGGTCGCGAACGTGCTAATGAAGAACAGGATCTGCGGGACGGTGCCATGTCCGAACAGAACCCCGAGGATTGCATCTCGGTAGCCCCTCATCGCGGCACACACCAGACCCGTGTACACCAGCTGGATGCTAAGCGTCAGGTAAACCTTTAGAGGAGGAATGCGGTTTAGAAACAAGCCGAAAGCAATGAAGCGGAGCCGTCATCATTCAAAATTACCGGGTCTGTTCCAGAGAAGTTCGTGTGAGCGGTCGAGCTACCGTTCGGCGTAACGTGTACGTCTTTGCATACGTGTTTGGCCTTGGTCATGTGTCAGACAACATGAGATGCTGCTCCAATACTCTACAATCGAAGGCCGGACCGACCTGCCCAGCATCGTCAGGGGATATCTTGCCAAAAGTCGAACTTCGCTATTCCTGCCTGCTCGCACTGACGCCGTTCTAATGGCTTGCCGGGTGACGGTGGATACCGAAACAAAGAACGCGCACGCGCGCACCAGGACCCAGACCATGGGCGTTGCATGCATTTTTTTTGTTTTTCGTCACGGTCGTTTCTTGTGGTCGCCATATTGGGTTGAAACCTCATTCATGTTTTATTCGTTTACACCGCCCAAAAGTGCTGCAATAGCACTAAGCAACTACCACCAGTTGTACACGGTGCTGAATGATCAAAGTCAGCAAGCCTTCCTCGCCGCCCCTACCACAAACCTTCTTCATGAAACCGACCCTGGACTCGAAGTCCAGGAACTGCGGCGCAAATTCCTGCTGACCGTCCTCCTTTCCATCCTCGCCCTTCTCCCCGGCAGAGTCCGCAGCCCTACGTCTCGTGATCGGACCCAGGATGGGTTTCGACGCTGCATCCGAACCTCCTCCCGTTCCCGACATCCTCTTGGGGGCCACTTTGGCCCCCCCGCCCCGTATTCGTAACATGCCCAGGGAGTCCGACGGGAAAGGAAGAGGGGTAGAAGGAAAGACACAGGAAGACCGACAGCAGGCCAGAGGGCGGCGGCTCCGAGGGGTTGGCTCATCTTGGGCTGTAGATGGTGGTGCGCCTGTTGTTGTTCCCGTCCGTCGGGGTATTGCCGGCATGAGGCAGAGGATGGAGAGAGGCGAAACACGCGCGGAGAAGGAGAGGGATTCTTGCCTTTGCCATAGGTGCACCACCGTGTTCGTTCGCTGGTGGCGCGAGATCGGCCAAGTCGAAGAACATCCAGTCCGCGGCTGGGAACACTTGGCTGCTGCATCAACTATGTACATCAAGATTCCGGGATCAACGCAGGGGGCTCCATGTACACGTGCAACTGCCTGAAAATTGCTTCGTGAAATAAGCGCGCCGAATGGTTGAGTTGAATGAAGGGAAGGGATCTCACTCGGCGGTCGGTAGCATATAACCTTGGCAGCAGGCTTGCCAGTTGCCAGCACCTTGTTCAAGGTGGCAAGAGGTGTGTTGTGTGTGTTTTCGTCCAATATATTATGGCGACAGTTCGCCCATTTTTCGTAGTGAGACGTGTACTACTGTAAACTATTCAGCGTATGTGGAGTTCTACACCTTTCAGCGTATTTTATTCGTACAACTACAACTGATCGTCACAAGCTAGCTTTGGCGCCGTGTTTGCCGGCCAACAGCAGGATTGTTCGAGATGCAAGGCGGCAATGTATCCTGATCTTAGTATTGATACCTGATCTGCTGCTACTGCTGTGTGGCGCTGACTTAAAGAAGGCGTTCCGCCTCCAAATGGTAGCCCGCTCAAGATCCAGACACCCGTGGCACAGCATGTGCCTTTTTAGCATGTGCATAACCTTGGCAGCAGGCTACAAACGATGAATCGGGCGCTGGCCACGTCACTTGTAAAAAAATATGTTCTCGTAATCCGCTGCTGCTGCTGCTGCTGCTGCTGCTGCTGCTGCAGAGAACCAAGGCCGAGAGAGCAGGATGTGCTGCGAGTTCACGGGAAGCAGAGATATGTGGCACTCACTTCGGGGGCGGTGAGTGATTTGAAGTTGAGAGTTGAACAGGCTACAGGTCCGCAAATAAATATATTTGGCGACGCCAGGCTGCTTGCTGCTGCTGTACAGCAGTATATTCTAAGCACGCACAAACTTGTGTAATACCGCGGGGAATCCGCACAACTACCAACTTCGCGCGCGGTTCTGTCTTTTGAGAGCGAACGCGAGCCACTGCGAGTTCGTTTTCGTTTCGGCCCCGCTATAGGAGACAAAAACCGGCTCGAAAACAGCAACATACCATTCGTACAACCCCCGGTGTACCTGATGCTTTTAGATACCCGCATTCCTCTCGCACGAAACCTTCGATGGGTCTCGTGGCGACCACAACGATAGCGGCAATTGCGAGGAGCCTTCCAGCCTGAAAGGAACTTAGCGGTGCCATTCTTCTCCGCCAGAGAAGTACAATCAAAGAACGAGAGGCACTTGACTGCTGTCATGTGTCTCCGCAAAGGTTTGCCAAAAATATGGCGTGCTGGTTCAGGACTGTTGGAAAACCGGTTGTAGCAGTATTGAGAGCGCCGATGGACGGACACAGGACAGGAGCAAGGAGCCAGAAGAAACAAGCTTTTCTGCTCTTGCTATCTCTCAGGTCGACGAAGGAGTGAAGACCAGGTGAATATCAACTGAATCGCGACAAGCTTGTCGACACGGGTGAGCGGGTAGTAGGATGAACCGCGACTGTTCGGACCTACAGGAGTCTTGTCAATTGATCCTCTGCAGGTCCCTATCGACTGCTGTAGATAGACTGCTACCAACAGCAGCAGTAGCCTGCTTCGCGAGCCGAGCTGCCGCTACATCGCTGCTGCAGCTGCTACATTACACTACATAGGTAACCTGCTGCGTATCATATGCATAAGCCAGATTTTGATTTATCCGAACGTTCTGAGGAACGCCGGTCTCGCCATTTCCGTCAGGGTGAGGACACTTTTTCAGCTGCATTTTTTCTCCACAACAAGGGCGGAGGAGGCTCGCATTTTTAGGTTACATAAAAAAAACTTCTTCAAAGTGACACACCAGTCACCCCCCCCCCACACACACACGCTTCTCAACGAACAAGTCCACACGGGTGAAAGAGAAACTCAGCGCCCAGAGAAAAAGAGGCGCTGGCGTTGGTGCGGGACAAACAACAAGACTGAGAGGATGCACGGTCAGGAAATCAAGTTGGGTTTGCGGCTTCAGGTCAGCAACACCCCGGTCAGGTTGAGGGAAGGGGGGGAGAAGAGCGCCCGAACGGCGGAGGCAATGACAACGTAGAGGTGGCGGCAGCACCACCAGCAAACAACAGCAGGAGGAAGATCACGAAGTGGTCTCTCAGTTCGACGTGATGCTGGCGAAGCGAGTCGTTCCCCGCGCAAGAGTATTCGCTACTTTATTCAACAAACGTTTGGCTTCTTGCAAGAAACGTTTGACTTCTTTCAAGATACGTTTGACTTCAAGAAACGCTAGAATTGGATGTGCCCCCCTCCCAAACCCCTCTCCGAACGCTTGGAACGCGACATTGCATATCAGAGGCTGCCGGCCATTGCAATTTCTTCCTGTCTCCGTATTGGTGCGATTTCGGGTGCTGGGGTTGAGGGAGCGACACAGACGCGCACACACGTGCACGCACACTCAATAGCAGTGGGGGAGGCTGCCATGGTGCAGCTGTCAAGCAGCGCAGCCACGAAAGTTAGGAGCCCCCCAGTCAGATCTGAAAGTGTTTGCCTGCACGAAGACTCCAGGAAACTTTGTTGTCCTTATATCTGCTTGTTCAAATGAAAAACTTTGGGCCACGGGTCCGAATCTGTGCATGTGTAATATTGTTATGGTTGACTTACAATAATGCTGCACGCCCGCCGTTTGCCCACGGCAATACATCCGTGCTATGTACCACAGGAGTACTACTGTAGTCCAAGACTATTGATGAAAATGAGAACTTGCTTGCGCTTCCGACTCTGTCTTCAATCGCTATTCAGCCGTAGGGCTAGAAGGTTCACACGGTTCACATGTTCGACGGCGGTCCTGTACCGACTGTCTGGGAGAGTGGGGGTAGCGCGCGGGGCACCTGCAGGGAGCGATAAAACAAATGGCGTCTGGAGAGAGAAAGCCCTTTCAATGTAGCGAGAACACCTTGAACAAATGGCATTCCTTGAAACTGGTCAGCCAGAACTACACGTAGTAGATACCACGTCCTTCACGGTTCGTGTGTTGTCGATCGCCGGTGGGTGTTTCGAGAGTATATCTTCGTTTGTCACCTAGCTGTACAATGATTCTTGATCTCTGTTCCCCTTACCGAATCGCTCGCCGCTGGGTCTTGCATGCGGTGGAGTCTGACCCTCAATGTCTAGTCCCTGACGAGGTACAAAGAGGGTCAACTGCCTTGCACTACGCTCCACTGCTGTACACGGGTGTTTTCCCCGATGCCACAATGACCTGCAGAGGGGACAAAATTGAACAAGGCACTGACAACGCCATGGCACACTCTTGGCGCGGCACTACATTTGCCGCCAACGGGCCACCACGAGCACTTTCGGCTACTTCAGCAAAAGGCACGCCGAAGTCGTCGTTCACTTGTTCGTTGTGCGGAGAGAGTTTTCGAGTCGACTATCACGGCAGGAAGCCACCATTCTGCCCCCAGCTAGTGTTCATGGAGGACGTCTATTGCATGAGGGACCCGTTTTCGGTCGGAGGAGCAGGAGGAGGAGCGACAGGCGAAAACGTGAGTTTGTTTGCTCCGGTCGATTCGTTAGATGAAACTACAGTAACACGTGGCTTTCGATTCCGTGACCATCGCTCTTCCTTGCGGCATTGCGGCCGCCGCTTACTACTGTCCAGACCACCGTTAGTGGTGTTCTCCAAGAATGCAACTCGAGACTCAAATTGCGTGGCAAGACCTACATCATTATTATTTTAGTACCTGGTAAGATCAGCACTATCTAGCATTGTTGCCCAACCCATATCTTGCATCCCTATAAATTGTATTCGCAACGTATGGTTTACTTAGGGAGTCGCAACCTTCCGCATGGCCGCATTGGCGCTTAGTAATCGTGTTTTGTCTTTTCGAACGGACAGTACACCGCGTGATTCTATGGTGTCGCAATGTGCGACACCGGTGTTGAATGAAACAGCTTGAAATGTTTCGGAACTCCGTGCCTGCCCTTCCTTCCCACGGGTCTCAGCTGTTGCACAAGCCCCCGTTCGTCCGAAGGTGACCTGTGGTTGCCGTGATATCGCCCAATAAATATATCATGTCACCACGTTGGGCGGTGTGGTGGATATGGGCTTATGTTCGATATGAACTCTTCGAAACTGCCTCTATTGGTCACGGCACCACCAGCCGTGTGTTCCCATGGGCCCCACATGTTGCACAAGTTATCGTTCGGTCCACACCGACAAGTGATCGTAATAGCGTAGCGACGTCGGTGTTAGTATTGCATTACCATTCAGCATATCGTAAAGCACACAATTATGACATCTTCAAGGTGCGACCGTTCGAGAAGGCGGTCCATACATAACTTGTTTCCATAAGTCAGGTCCAGGATTTCGATTGCATCGCGATTTTCCAGACGACACTACTGCTGTTGTACATCTATGCTCTATTTTAGAGAAGAACTGAATACTGTAGTGGTGGCGTCTGTTTGTGCTGAGGGCGAACAGCATTGCAACGCCTCCGGTCGAATTCCCTAATGCGTGAAACAAGAAACCTTTCAGACACCGGGCTAGTCAAGGGTCAACGCGGACAGGTTGGTGGGGAGCACGAATGCAACTTGCTTTCAGTGCAGTCTGCGGGAAGTCTGGGTCTATTTTGTGAAATTACGGCTGTCAGAAGAGCTCGTAGAGCAAACGGACAGGAGATAAGACCACCATACGTACAGTGTCACACGTTGTTGGTGATAAAAATGCACAAAAAGAACTCTGGTAGTATGCCGCCACAACCTTTGCCACGGCAGATACGGATGGAGCAGCAGAAAACAGTCAGTGTAGTCCTCGGAAAGAATTGTGTCATCTGAGAAGCAATGTTTGCTGTTGCAGGTCGTTTATTCACACCCACGAACCCTCCGCTATCGTCCGATTTGGGACGCGAAGTGATTGCCGAAAATAGTCCGCTGAAGCCCAAATGATGTCCAACATGCGTTTGCCGCCGGGAATAGTCTTCCGCCAAACATGCACCGTCAAGCGGCCAATATGCGTTTGCCGCCGGGAATAGTCTTCCGCCGAACATGCACCGTCAAGCGGCCAACATTCGTTTGCCGCCGGGAATAGTCATCAGCCGAACATGCACCGTCAAGCGGTCTATACCTTTTTCAGCTTGAGCTTAGTGTGATGTTGTTCGGCACTGCTGTAGGGCGCAGCCAACGAGTGCTTGATTAGTCAGAACGTGGATATCATCTCAGTTATCTCACACGAACATTCAAATATTTGCTGTCCTTGCTTCGCTTGCTTCGGTGGGGCGCAGACGCGGGCCATCTCAAAAACACGTTCGAAGTGAAATTCGCTCCAATCACCACCCTTGGACATATGGTCGCATGCGTACGTGGAAACGATAATCGCAGATGACACCCGCCAACCGGCCAAACGCGGATGTGCAAGTCCTTGAGCACAACATCTAACAGTGTCGTTGGGCGCTGGTTCCAACTTGTTCCGGACGTTTACCGCCACAGCCATTCTACGACGGTGATGGCTATCGATACATATATTGTTTGAGCATGCGTATCTGTCCGGGTGGCTGTGGGATGGAGCTGGAAAACATGCATATACAGCAAACTCGAGGTTGAAAAAGTTCTTCCCACGCGTAGCTCAGCTTCAGCGGCCCGGTTTTATTGTTTTTCTCCAACACACACGCGAGACGTGTTTGGGTGGGATCCTGCTGCAGCATGTACTGAGACGGGTTGGGTGTATCCTGCTCGAAGACCAATAAGAACTGCCGGTGAAATCTGCCGCAGGGTTCAGAACCAAATTCAGGTGAATGTACCGCAGTATGCTCATTCACAATCAATCACCATTTGTCGAATTCCCGCTTGACGGAACTATTGCCCATACAAGCACAACAGTATATCTCTACCCTCTGGAGTGCCTAATAGATTATCTCTCGAATGCGTGTTTTTTTTTTGTCTCCTTAACCTTTATGTACATGCTGCACGGCATGCATCCAAGTCATTCTCAACCCGCTGCCATTGATCGGGAGATGGGCCTTTTGAATGTTGGCAACAATTGAAAAATCGTTTTCTGGCTCTTTGCGTGCCACCCCAGCGCTAGGTGCACAGTCTAGGCCTTCTGGATCACGTAGATCAACAGCACGCTACTTACACGACGAAGACGTTTCGAAACTACCGAGAGTGCGGAGGAGAAGGAGGGAGAGGAGGAATGGCAGAGCATCGAATGGATTTGTACGGCATCGCCATCTGCTGTTATAATGGTGTTCACATCGGGAAAGCAATAGTCCGTTGCACCCGCGTTGAATATTTTGAGCTAGCTGCAGCAAAGCGAACGAGGGACATGTTGATACATCGTTGTAAGGAGGATTTTTTCATTACTAAGTTACACGATTTTCGTCAAGCTTCCTTGAGGAAAACACCTGTATATATTCCGAATTCCTTGAGTTCAGATGTCAGAGTACAGCAGTTTTGGTACAGTGTTGAGCACAACATTTGGTACCGTATTCGTCATGGGGGTGATTCGTGAAGTTTAACTGTAAGAATAAGAGTAGAGGTAGGAGCAACATGATAGGACGTATTTTGTCGATGGAAGTACAGATAACCAACGATGTTGGTATCAACGTAGGTAGCCACTGTGGTATCAATCAGGATGTGAGGATTGATTTGAACGTACTATCAGAGACATGAGGATGGTTGAATGGATTTCAATGGTTTTTGTTAGAATTCTCTCCGGAAGAAAGGAATCTACGTGCAAAAAAAAACAAAAATATATCAAAACCTTTTCAATCACCCAACACCAGGGTGAAAAACGATGGATACGAAGGCAACAAACTGCCCTAGTAACCATTCACAAGGGGGAACACAGTGCCCAGTGTCCCTTGAAAAATCTGATGAAACAAAATCTTCTAATCTCAGATGAAATGACGTCACCTTCTCCAAAATTAATTCCTAAATCTCACATCAAATGACGTCATTTGGCCAGGTGAAAATACATCACGTCGATGGTCTCCAAATATGCATTGAGCAGACGGTCAGGGGAGCCCCCTTTGCACACTCTCACGCTTAATCCCTACCGCCAACCTCCCATTGTGTTCGGAGCAGCCGGCATTCGGATCCCTGCCGTGGTACCACATCCATAGCTCTCCTCCGATAAGACTTGAGGCAAGGCGGGAAGGCTGTACCGAGTTTCGTGCAAAGCCGCCCACCCATATTGACCTCGCAGCTGACACGACCTTCTCCTGCTGCGTATCAACTCCCAGGTGTGTACTTGGATACAACGCGCGTGTACCTTTCGTCGTGTACCAGTTAAGATCTACTACAATCGACAACTAAATACTCGTTGCTGCTGCTACTGCCCTTCATGCAGGATGCTCTACAACATGGCTGAGACACGCTGCAAACGGTCTCGACAACACTCTTCGACACACACCGTTCGAAAAAAAACAGGGAAGTTCTACCTACATGGACTGCAACTCTACTGCTGTGCTGACCGCCGCCTGTTCATTGGCCTCGATGAGACGCTACACACAAGAAAGACTAAACTCCATTGTTGTAAATCAGTATCACTCCTTATCCTATGTATCCCCCTCCCCTTCAAGGCGTTTCACCCACACGAAGAACAACATAACATTGTAGATTTCAAAATAAGCGGGAAACAGCCACTCTCAAATCTTCAGTACAACTCCAACTGTTGAAATAAAAAATAACTTTTTTTTTTGTGCTGTGTGTACATGTACAACCTACAGCTGTACATACTGTAGTTTATCTTCAAGTCGCCTAAAACAGCAGCGAAGTAATTTCTAAAAACAGCAAGTTGTCCAACGAGACTGCGCCATGTTCCCTGTGAAGGCCACATTCCGCATAACAGGAAGAACGTATCCGCCTGTACAGATGCTTTTGTTCTTAGCTCCAACGGCATTACTGATAACTCAGTGTTAGGCTTACACAAACTCAATATAAGCCAAGTCTCCAGTTGGTTTCAATCCACTTGCTGAAAGACTTCACCACATCCCTTTCGACTGAGGTTATATCTCGAACGGGTAGTTTTCTGTGAGGTTTTCTTTACTTTCTAAAAACTAAGTGTGCTTCCCTCCCATATGGTGACGGCATTGCGGCAGCAACGCACGCCCTCTCATGAAGGGCGATACTACTGGGTATTGTTCGGCAACCACGTGTCGGTGTGGGTCGGACTACGGCTTGTGCGACAGTAGTGGGCCGTGAAGACACATCGCAGGCGGTTTCGTGCCCCTTGGAGGTGAATTCGAAAAGTTTCGAGCGGTGTCGTACAAGATCCCTATCTATGACACAGTCGAAAAGTGCAGTGGTGCTGTGGCCACATTCTCGGGCCAGTCTCAGGAACCACGTGTCGGTTTGGGCCGAACAACCGCTTGTGTTGCAGTTCGGGCCCGTGGGAGTTCAGCGCAGTTGGGTTGGTGCCCATCAGAGGCGGTTTCGCATGCATTTCGAGCGGTATCGGGTAATTTTTTTCGACACCGATGTCGTACGTAGCATTAACGTTATTTGTATCCCTTCACAGCTCGACGCCCCAATCTCACCTGTCCACTGACCCTTGATTACATCTTTCTGTCAACGAAACACCCATTGAAGAGTCTCACATGCCACCTGTTCCAACCGATACTCCTCAGAGAAAATGCCTCCCAACGGTGGTCGGAGGGACGTGCGCTGTTTGCTCCAAGGATGTGTGCGCCCAGTGTAGCTTATTCTACGCCGTGAGGCTCTGCGGCCACTGCGCGCGAGCGCACAAGGCAAGCTTGCCCTCGGAACTGCATCGCATCGTGGACGCTACGGGAGGGGCGCCAGAGAAATACCCTGCAGAGACGGGGGGGAAGGCTGTGTCGTGCCTCCATGGCAGTGTTCAATCTTCGATGGCAATCGCGGAGAATCGCTGTGCGCTACCACCACACGGCTCGAAGTATTGTTAAGCGGCCGTTGCGGGCATTGGTTAGTATCGCATCGTGGACACTACGGGAGGGGCGCCGAAGAAATACCCTGCAGCGACGGGGGGGAAGACTGCGTCGTGCCTCCAAGGCAGTGTTCAACCTTCTGTAGCAATCGCGGGGAATCGCTGTGCGCTACCACCACACGGCTCGAAGCATTGTTAAGCGGCCGTTGCGGGCATTGGTTAGTTAACCCCTTAGAGGTGTCAGGACGGCAAGCGGTCTCTTGCTATTTAAAGTTCCTGTGATTTGCCTCTGTGATTGTTTTTGCTGATGCAGAATCTGAATACAACGTCACGCCCAGCTGCTTCCTACAGATTGCCAAGAACCAGCGCGCAGATTGCATGGTCGACCGAGGTATGGCGGGGGGGAGAGCTGATGAAAATTATTCGAAATCGGTTAGTTTGCCAAGAAAATGTTTCGAGTCGTCCGAACCCTCTGGGGGTTGTCGTTGTTGCGCCTTGCCATGATCTCTTTGGCAACACCACAAAATACGTATGCACATCCGTGCTCGCTCACTGAGCGAGTACGTACCTGTTTCTGCGTGCGCTGTGCGTCACTCACAGGAGAAATGGAAATGTTTGCTGTCAGTCGTTAAAGCTGAGGGGGTTGGCATTTCGCCGCCATCATTCATCACAACGAAGATGGCACGAGACTAATCAACAATAACAAATGTAGATAGTGGTTTCCATTCCAACATCATCACTCATCACACTGACCGACCGGGACAATTTTACGCACAGCCACCCCGAATGTTCTGAAGATTTAGCATCAGCTTCTCAGACCAATATCTGTGGAAGTTTCATTCGACTCCCCCACCCCTTGCTCGAACCGTGCCGCTGCTCCGTTCGCGAGTTCGTGCGTCCCGGCCGGCCGACGGCGCCGCGGGAGAATACATGACTGCCGGTGGTTCCCTCTCTCGCCGCCGGTACTGCTGCCGATGCTGCCGCTCCCACCGCGAGTGCCTGGGCCCTGGCCGTCTCCCCCGCCGCCGTCGCCGCCGCAGGGAAAACCCTGCTGCCAGGGGTCACCACTCTCGCCGCTGGTGCTGCTACCGATGGTTCTGCTCTAGCTGCAAGTGCCGGCACCCCGGCCGTCTCCCCGACCGGCGTCACAGAAAACACATGACTGCCGGTGGTCCCCCCTCTCGCCGCCGGTGCTGCTGCCGATGCTGCCGCTCCCGCCGCGAGTGCATGGGCCCCGGCCGTCTCCCCGACCGGCGTCACAGAAAACACATGACTGCCGGTGGTCCCCCCTCTCGCCGCCGGTGCTGCTGCCGATGCTGCCGCTCCCGCCGCGAGTGCATGGGCCCCGGCCGTCTCCCCCGTCGCCGTCGCCGCCACGGTGAAAACCCTGCCGCCAGGGGTTCGACCGTCTCGCCGCCGGTGCTGCTACCAATGGAACCGCTCTAGCTGCGAGTGCCTGCACCCCGGCCGTCCCCACGGCCGGCGTCGCAGAGGAAAACATTACTGCCGGTGGTCCCCCCTTGCACCACCGGTGCTGCTGACGATGCTGTCGCTCCCGCCGCGAATGCCTGCGGCCCAGCCGTCTCCCCCCGCCGCCACAGGGAAACCCCTGCCGCCGGGGGTCACCACTCTCGCCGCTGATACTGCTACCGATGCTGCCGCTCCCTCCACACGAGTGCCTGGGCCCCGGCCGTCTCCCCCCCCGCTGCCGCCGCCGCCACGGGCAAATTCTGTCGCCGGAGGTCACCCCTCTCGCCGCCGGTGCCGCTGCAGCCCATCCGGTGGAAGCCTATCCCCAAACGACCACTATATGTCAGGTCCTGTGAGTCCATTGGGGAGAACTGCTTGAGGTATTTTATCGTACGATTCTTTCTCGTTTACTTCGGATGTTTTTTATGACTATCCTGTCATGGTAGGTTTCTTCGGATTTGGTTCTTTGGCCTTGTCATCGTCGGCACCGCAGTTGCAAGGTCTTCATCGCGGTCTGGACGTCTTCATTCTTCAGCCACTTTGTTCTTGCTGCGTCTCGTGCTCGAGAGTGTTACCGTAGTAAGTACTTGCTGCGGCTTCCCGTCAACATAAACAAAGGAAAGCTTCAGACCGGCCATGCCGACGAAACTCGTCGAGGAGTTGCACATTACCGGTCCACGTTTTGGTGGTCTCCTTCATTCGATGTGGTAGTGTACTGGACAGATCATCAGCGGGTATCTTTAGCGAGGAGATTGATGACAGCATCGAGCCCCTCGCCATTAAAATTGCATTAAGTAGGTGGCCCGATATAGTGGCATGTAGGGGCAAGAGCAGAATATGCCACTTTTTAGGGCACTGCCATTACTCTATCCGATATAGGATATCGGGTTCATGTACATGTTGAGATTATGACTAGAGATTTTGATGCCATTATGTGGATGGGCAGTTCCATTATTCAAGATGGGCACACGCATGGATGGGCATTCTGAGATGTGCCCTCTCTCCGTTCAGGGCCGGTCGCGACTGTTCGTTTCGGGAGCACTAGGGCGACATGATGTGTATCGGACCCTCCGGCCGAACATGCTAGTTTTCGAGCGTCTAGAGGACGACTTACGGTTAGGGTTGGTGATATTTTGGGTCAGCTTTTTCGGGTTGGACTTTGTTGGCTCAATGTACTACTACTGTGTGCATGCATACATACGTAGTACCTCGTGTAGATTGCAATATATTTTCCGTTTGCGTCAGTTGCTGCCGGTGAGGCCCTGCCCCTACCTGCCGCGTGATTCTCCGTTCTTTTATCGAGTGGAACGCGTATTGTTGTTTTCATTCGTTGGCGAAAATGGTGTGTCCTGCATCACGCAAGAAAGTATAAAAAAACAACCTTGGGACTAGCACGCCGACGATATTCGTCTGATTGCTTTTGAAACAATGCAGCTCGCTGTTATGCATTATTTTCGTATTCCCAAGCGAAGCATCAGCGCTCATGTCCAAGACCAGCCGCGGAGTATCAGACCGTCAGGCCAGAAATCTACGGGCGACATCAATCCCGCCCAAACCGCACGCTGCGGAAAGGAACCCATCAGTCCTTCGGGAAGAACGTCGTAAGCGTCGTCACTGGCGAGGAAGTTTGTTGTTGTTGTTGTTGTTATTGTTGTTGTTGTTGTTGGTGGTGGTGGTGATAAGTGTTGGTGTGGTGCTCGTGCTGGTACTTTGAGTGCTTAGCCTGTGGAGTCAAGGAATCCGTCTGTTACAAGGTACTTCTGGGGATGCCTCTTAGTGTATGCCCCTTCTCCATGTCCGCCGTCGATTCCGCGAAACCTCCGCGGCTTCCCACTAGAAAAAAAACATCCTCAGACAGGCAACGCCGACGATACCCGTCGCGTTGATTTATCACAATAAGTCGTTGTTTATTGTATAAACAATACTTCGAAGTATTATAGTACTTTTTGGGGTTTTCGGAGGACAAGCATATACCCGTCACCAGCGCCATTCATTCACATATCAAACAAAATACTCGAGTGATTATTTGGCTCGCACCAAGGGCAAATTGCATACCAAGCACATCCCATATAAGATTTATTGACCATCTGCATCTGATCTCTGTGACATTGTCTCCTCATACGATTGTTTCCTGCATGGTCATTCATGAACGAAATGTTGAACCGTTGCCATCCATGGTGGGGTTGGAAGCGACATTGAATACTCGATTTTTACACCGACATTGATTCAACACCTTGTTGTCTATTTGAGGAGTAAGAAATATTCGCTCATCCGTTCGGTGGTCTCGCGGGCCTCCACAAGTTAGTCGTAACATTTTTGAACAGATCCACATCTACACATATTTTGACGCCACCGATGCTGTAAATACTAGTTCTATGCCTTTGGGGAATTGGAGTATCGCTCACGTCGGGCTGTTTTACCTTTTGCGAGCGAATGTGGGAGATCCTTCAGCCGCAGCTACTGCACACGATGAGCCACCCCCTGGAAGCCGTCGCCCTCTCGCCTGCCACCGGTGTCCGTGTGCCAGCCGTTCTACCACCTTCATTTTCGCTCGGACTTCTTGCCGGGCAAGTGGCGAATAATGCGAGGGACGGGGGACGTGCCCCTCAAGAGGACGTCGGGAACGGGAGGAGGTTCGGGTTCAGCGTCTAAGCCCATCCTGGGCCCGATCAGGAGACGGAAGGCTGTGGATTCTGGTTGGGAGAACGGCGGGAGTGGAAAGGAGGACGGTCAGCAAGGAATTCACGCCAGACTGCCTGGACTTCGAGTCCATTGTCGGTTTCGTGAAGAAGGTGGGCAGTAGGGGCGGTGGGGCGGAGGTGGAGGGACTCTTTGAGTTTCAGCACCGTGTACACGTGGTGCTAGTTGCTGAGTGCTACCAGTAGCATTGCTGAGTGGCTAGATGGCAGACCAAATGTCCAGCTTGTTCGGTTTGATCGAGCATAGCGGCAAACGGAGCCGACCACGACGAAGAGAGTAATATTTGCTTTCAATGCACATAGCCTGAGTCTTGGTGTGCGTATGTGCGTGCGTTCCTTGTTTTGGCATTCACCGTTACTTGGCTGGCCGGTAGAACCGCGTCGCTCCAAGCAGTTAGCGATACCGGGTACAATTTGCGTGGGTCCCCCTGATGGGACTCAGCAGGTCGGTTCGGTCCACGGACGGAGTACATTAACGACGACGCATGATCTCATTACTTCGACAACATGTGCGCTGGTCAGGGTTGTACACGTATGCTATGACCTGCACGGTTACGCTGAACGGTAACTCGACCGTTCACGCGCACTTGTCTGGAACAGACCCGGTAATAATGAATGATGACGGTTCCGCTTCTTTGCTCGCGGCTTGTTTCTAAACCGCATTCCGCCGCGAAAGATGTACTTGACGCTTTCTATCCAGCTGGAGTACGCGGGTCTGGTGTGTGCCACGATGAGGGGCTACCGAGATGCAACCCTCGGGCTTCTCTTGGGATATGGGAATTGTGCCGCAGATCCTGTTTATCAGTAGCACGTTGGTGACCACCATTTCCACGCACGCGATCATGCGGAAAAACCTCGAGGTCAGCTGAGCGAGACACGACCACCGGTGCTGTTGGCAAGTCGTTCGTCACTAGAGTTGCTACGGGATTGTCTGCTCCTCTTTGCAGCGGTGAAGGAGGCGCAAAGCCCCTCCGGGCTTAAGGTTGCATGGCGTAATGCTTGGCCTTGAACCTGATTGCTTCGGTCTTATCACGGAGGGTGGTTCCTGCATCCAT